CAGAGGGAAGGCTTGGTCTCCCCCGGCCAGCAGAATAAGGCCCATGTCACAGACCCTCGGCTGAAGGACACTGAGCCTCAGGACCCCAGCACTGCTGTGCTGTGCGCTCACCATGCGCTGGCTCTCTTTGGCTACCGCGGCACGCACCCGGCAGCCGGGCTGGGAGGTTAAAACCAGCACTGCCCCTGCCTGGCTTGAGTCCCTCGTTCTTCCATAAAATCCTCTGTTTGCTTTCCAGACGGAGAGCAGCCACCAGACTTGCTGGGACCTGTGCTGACTCTTGCCGCACAAGATGACAGCAAGAGACGGACCCCAAGATAGGTAATGCTGGGCTCTGGTGTAGGTGCAGGGGCACGTTCAGGATACCGGGAGGTGAGGGAGGACAGGGGGACCCAGAGTCTGGGCGACCCCATCTACTACACGCTCACTGGGCTACCAAGCTGTTCCTTCCCTGAGATGCTCTCGCTGTCAGCTTTTCCATAGCAGACGGGCTGTAAACAGTCCCGGGCGCTGGGACACGCCTGGGGAGCGTGACTCGCTCCCAGCTCTGGCAACGGCTGCTGCACACCTGCATGCCATGTGCTGAGGAGCAGCTTCTGGGTGCTATGTGTTGACGACCTCCCCCTGCCTGTACCCTCCTGGGGAGGGCCTCCCACAGCCCCTCTGTGGTGCCATATTTCCTCCAGCAGCTCAGGCTAGCAGGGGCTGTGTGGCAGGGACAGGGCAATACATTTTTTCCTCTTCCTGGTGCCTCCCGCTGCAGGGTTGGGGACAGTCAGAAGTGATTCCTGTCCCCTGCTGTGCCCAGTGTCCTGCTCCAAACCACTCTGTCCCCTCCGTAGGTACAAGGCTGTCTGGCTGATCTTCTTCATCCTTGGCCTGGGAACGCTGCTGCCATGGAATTTCTTCATGACTGCCAGGGAGGTGAGAGCTTCCCTCCCACTGCTGGCCTTAACACTGATTGTCCCCTCTCACGTCTAGGGACCATGGTGTAGGTGTAGCAGCACAGCACCCCGTAGAGCCCCTATGTTTGCACACAGGAGACAGAAGCACGGGTGACCTGGATGGGACAGGTGGCTCTGAAACTGCAGGAGGGCTGGACGTGGAATCAGATGGGGGACAAGGGTGGCCTGAGTGTGTTGGGGGAAGGCCTTGCAGTACCTCGGCCCCACCAGGCTCCTTCCCTTGCAGTATTTCATCAGGCGCCTTGTGGACCCGGAGGAAATGAGCCACGATCGGAACCACACTGATGAGAAGCCCATCCCCTACCTGCAGTCCATGTTTGACAACTTCTTGACTCTCTGCGCCATGGTGCCCCTCCTCATCTTCACCTGCCTCAACTCCTTCATCCACCAGCGGTGAGCCTTGCCCCATCCTTGCCCGGGCCAGCCCACATAGGGCCACCCAGCCCTGGCCTGTCCTCCTATTGCAGCACTGAGCCAAGCCACAGCCTGTTCTGTCAAGACAAAGGCAAAACACTAGTCTTCTGTGCTGGGGTTTGGCTGGGATTCCCATGGAAGAGCTTGGCCTCAGCCTCACAGGCTTTTGAGGGGTGGGTTTTCCTCACTGACACCCTCTCTCGTAGGATTCCCCAGCAGATCCGCATCTCGGGCAGCCTGGTGGCCATTGGGCTGGTATTTTTAATCACTGCAATCATGGTGAAGGTCACCATGGAGCCTCTTCCCTTCTTCATCTTTACCATGATCAGCGTCGTCTTCATCAACTGTGAGTGAGGCAACAGGGGGAAGAAAGATGCACGGCCCCATGTCTGGGGCCAGTCTCTCTGGGAGAAAAGCATGAACCTCGCTACAGGGGAGCCAAGGAGGAGGGGAACCTGCCTCGCCTCGGAGGGCAGGGGCCTTGGCTCCCCACAGAGGGGCAGGCCATCGTTCCCTTCGGTTTCTCATTTCTTCTTCTCTTCCCCCTTTTCAGCTTTCGGTGCCATCCTCCAGAGCAGCCTCTTTGGGCTGGCAGGGCTCCTGCCTGCCAGCTACACAGCTCCCATCATGAGCGGGCAGGGGCTGGCGGGTACCTTCGCCACTTTGGCGATGATCGTCAGTATTGCCAGTGAGTAATCCCTGCCCTGCAGGTGGCAGGGCCTTCCCAGAGCACTGCTGTCAACGGGATCTGTTTGGGTCCTGCTGTAGGGTGGGGTGGGAGGTGGCAGTGGGGTCTCTCTCCTCTCAGCCCTCGTCATCTTCTGTATCCCCACCCCGCGCCCCCACCTCCTCCGTTCCTATGTTCCCAGTTGGTGCCCAGCAACCTGAGAGCTTCATCGGTTACTTCTCCACGGCCTGTGTGGCCATTGTGCTGGCAATCGTCTCCTACGTCCTTCTGCCTCGCATGGTGAGACCTTGTCCTCCTGGTGGGGAAGGGTGTGGGGGCATGGGACCTTTGTGCATCACAGCACACACACTGTGGCCCGCTGGCGTCCCAGTCTTGGCTCCTGCCAGCATCTACCTCCTGGGACAGGGTAAGCTCTCTTCTGTTTGGAGGGATCTCTCTGGGATACTCCCCACCTCAGATACCCCAGTATCCTTGGGGTACTCTGGAAATGAGCCCCTGGGTGAGCAAGAAAGCACTGGTATTGGACATAAGTGGAAGGAGCGCTTTGCCCATATTGCCCATGTCTGCTATTGCCCCACAGCCCCTGGCAGCCTTCTTTCTTCACACATCAGTGACTTCTCTGTGGCTGTCTCTCTGCAGGATTTCTTCCGTTACTACTCCATGAAGGACAAGACAGAGTACCGTGTGTACAATGCAGAGCTGGAGACCAAGAGAGACCTGATTAAGAAAGGTGAGGGGCTGAGAGGAGGAAGAGGAGGGAAAAAGAGGAAGAGCCGAGGAGAAGAAGAATGAGACAGGACTCAATTAGATCTCAGCTTTCTGGGGTCTGCTATGCCCTACTTATGTCTCTCCCTGCAGATGAGCCCAATGGGATGGAGCAGAATAACTCAAAGATCATCCCAATCCACAACCCTGACGAGAGGCCCTCAGTCATTGCTATTTTTAAGAAGGTCTGTGAGTAACCAGCAACCCCTGCCCTGCCCCTTATATCAGGGGATGGGCACGGGTGTAGGAGAACATGAGAGGAGACCAGCCCTGCCCTGGTCTCTTGCCCTGTGTTTGGTACCAGCCTCTTTCTTTCATCTGCCTAGCTCTGGGTCATGGCTTTGTCTGTCTGCTTCATCTTCACCGTCACCATCGGCGTCTTCCCGTCCATCACAGCCAAGGTGTCCACTGTCCTCGGAGAAGGCAACAAGTGGGGTAAGTGTGGCCAGGGATGGGGCAGGGTACGAGGAAACTGGGAACAAGGTAAACGGCAGGAAAGAAAGTGGGGCATGAAGTAGGAGGTATGTGTGAGGGGTTGACCCTGGCTGGATGCCAGGTGCCCACCAAAGCAAATCTATTACTCTGCTCCCTCAGCTGGACGAGGGAGAGAAAATACAATGAAAGGCTCTTGGTTTGAGATAAGGACAAGATCACTCACCAATTACTGTCACAGGAAGACCAGGCTCAGCTTGAAGAAAATTAATTTAATTTATTACCAAACAAATCAGAGTAAGATAATGAGAAATAAAAACTCAATCTTAAAGGACTTTCCCCCACCCCTCCCTTCTTCCTGGGCTTGACTTCAGTCCTCATTTCTCTGCTTCCTGCCCCCAGCAGCACAGGGGGCTGGGGCTTGTGGTCAGTTCATCACAGGCTGTCTCTGCCACTCCTTCCTCCTCAGGGGGAGGACTTTTCATAGTCTTCCCCTACTCCAGCATCGGGTCCCTCCCACAGGAGACAGTCCTCCACAACCTTCTTCAATGTGAGACCTTCCCACAGCCTACAGTTCTTCATGAACTGCTCCAGGGTCCCTTCCACAAGGTGTAGTCCTGTAGGAACAGACTGTTCCAGTGTGGGTCCCCCACGGGGTCACACGTCCTGCCAGGACACCTGCTCCAGTGTGTGCTCCTTTCTGCATGGGTCCACAGGTCCTGCCAGGAGCCTCCTCTGGTACAGGCTTCTCACAGGCATCCACCTGCTCCAGCATGGGGTCATCCACGGGCTGCAGGTGGATATCTGCTCCAACATTAACCTCAGTGGGCTGCCGGGGGACAGCCTGTCTCACCATGGTCTGTCTTCACCATGCACTGCAGAGGAATCTGCTCTGGTGCCTGGAGCACCTCCTCCCCCTCCTTCCCTGACCTTGGTGTCTGCAGATTCTCTCACATATTCTCTCTGGCTGCAGTTACGTAGTTTTGGATTTTTTTATCCCTTCCTAAATATGTTATCACATCACTGATTGGCTCAGCCTTGGCCAGTGGCAGGGGGCTCCTGGTGTAGGCAGCATTGGCTCTGCCAACACAGGGGAAGCTTCTAGCAGCTTCTTACAGAAGCCACCCCTGTATAGCCCCACTGCTACCAAAACCTTGCCACGCAAACTGAATACAGTATGCCTGAGGGGGAGAGGAAATCACTGTGCATGAGGGTTTGGATGCAGACACTGGCCTGGCCAGCCCTTACTGGGAAACCAGGAGGGCCTAGACCTGAAAGACAGTCGTTTGTCCAACTGGCAGGAGGGCCTGGGGCAGCCTGGGCTCATCAGTGACCTTCTCTCCCTTCTGCAGGTCTCTACTTCATCCCCGTTTCCTGCTTCCTGCTCTTCAATGTCTTTGACTGGACTGGACGGAGTCTCACTGCCCTCTTCACATGGGTAAGCATGGCGCAGGGAGCAAAGGCCCAGGCAACCTTCATCCCCAGACCCTCGGCCATGGCTCTCACTCAGGCTGCCACCCATGGCTTGGAGCTGGAAGGAGGTGCAGAGCTGACTCCTGCCTTGGCTTGAAGTTCTAAGCAGAGATTGATGGGTTAGAGGCAAGAACCACAATGTTGTCCTCCTCCCACCGCTCTTTCAGCATGGCTTGGATGAAGCTGCCTCCTCCATTTCAGCCTCTTTGTAAACAAACCTTCACTCCAGCTATGCAAACAGTGAGACAGGCCGGCAGCAGGGAAAGA